GGGCGGCGAGCTGGGGAGAAAGGGGGGGGCGGCCGCCAGCGGCTGGAAAAGGCCAGGCCCGAGCAGTACGTCCCGGACATGGACGTGAGCAAGCCTGTGTTCTGGGGGAAGGACGCCCACCGCCCAGAGGTGGCACCCCTCACAGTGCAGCGTCCTGGAGAGTCTGGTGGATCTTAAAGTACAACCCCCTCATGGTACATATAGGGAAACTGAGGCCTGCGGAGGGCCCAGTGGGAACTAAAGCCTGGGGATCGGGGGCACTTGGGTTTGAGCTCCAGCTCTGCTCCATCTCAGCAAGTTACTGCACCTTTCTGGAAAAGGGGGGATAAGAACTGGGTTGTGAGAAGTCAAACATATCCATAGCTCAGATAGAGTCTGGCCACAGCAGGTCCTTAATAAATGGTCATCATTACTGTGTCACATTCCTTGTCCCACAGCCGAGAGAAGTGTGGGAGGCGGGTGTCTGCACACGGTTCTGGGACAGGCTTTACTGTCAGGGGTACTTACCTGTCCCAAGCCTTTGCTACCTGACGTCGTGCTAAGTCCCGTAAACCTGCCAACGTCCACTCAGTACGCCTTCCGGGAGCACCTCAGTGCCTTTCCCACCATGGCTCCAGTGGTGACAGCACACGTCTGGCCACCAGCCCCCAACACTGCCCGATGCAAACCTACACAGCGCCGAGAGGTCTTTTGCTTCATTAAAAGCAGACCGTGGACCACGAAAATGTTCTAAAAGTGTTGCAGTGGCGGACGCACCAATGTGAACACACCGAAAGCCGCTTGGCGGTACAGTAGTATGTGGGTTATAGCTCCGCAAAGCTGTTAGCCAGAGCAGGACGGAAGCGTTCTACACTTACCCCAGTGACAGTCCTGCTCTCCTAAGTCAATGCACCAATCTCAACTACCCTAAAGAGAGTAACGACAATAACTTCCTGAGTGAACAGTGTGTCCTGGAACCTGCTAAGCATTTTCCATTCATTTTTCATTTGGTCACATCCCAATGCAGGAGACACTAATCATTATTCATACTTTCTTTATAGCTAGGGAAACAGACTGGAGGTGGGAAGGGAGCTGACTGCTCTCTCTCCACATTCCCGGATCCCCTCACCGCATTGCTTATAGGCAGGTCACCCTGGGCCAGGGGCCACGCCAGCAAGATCAGGTGCCTGGGGGTGCTGACTCAGCAAAAAGGCGCGCCCACCAGGGCAGCCCCTCCAGCTAAGCAAACCTGGCCTGGCCCCGCCCCCTCAGGTGCCTGGGTTGAAGGAAACGGCTGCGAAGCAAATTCCAAGTAGGCGCCCAACCTGCCTCAGTTTCTCAAAATGAAAAACGGGCTAGTTACCCACGGCTCTCGAATGCTGCAGTTTCCAGGGACCCGCTCGCGGGTCCTCGCCCTGCACCTCCAAGACCACGACTACAACTCGGACTCACCCACGGGCATTGGGGAGGGCCCTTCTGTCCCTTCTAAGCCTCTATCCGGCCTCGATTTCCCCCTTCCAGGGGTGCACCCCGGGAAAGGTAAGTCACTTCTGCAGCCCCCTTAGGTCACCTGCTTCCCCGAAGCCATCGTCCTCGCCTTCTGCGCCTGCCTCCACCGGCATGCCCAGGTCCCCGTTGGGGCCCGACATTGCAGGTTTGGCGCCGCAAGGGCCGCGCGAAGATGGAACGCGGCGACAGTCCCGCAGATAGCCAGCGCCGGGCGGAAGGTGGAAGCTGTGGATCGAACCCGGAGCCGGAAGGGTGGAACGCAACCACGGATCACTGCCTGGAGGG